ACTACTACTAGATTTCTAATGTCGATTCTAATGAATAATTCGTCAATGACGAATAAAAAACAATTCTATGCAATTCTGAAAGGGGGAAAGATCCCTCGGCTAGAATCATTTGATTATATTGACAATTTCAAAAAACGGATCATACTATGATCATAGTATGATGGCCGTTGGTCAAGCGGGCCCCCATCGTCTAGTGGTTTAGGACATCTCTCTTTCAAGGAGGCAGCGGGGATTCGAATTCCCCTGGGGGTAGGGTACTACGAAAGGAAATTGATCATGGATTACCAATAAGTCGAAAATTGATTCTTCCTGGGTCGATGCCCGAGCGGTTAATGGGGACGGACTGTAAATTCGTTGGCAATATGTCTACGCTGGTTCAAATCCAGCTCGGCCCAATAATTCGCCAATCCGCCATGAGATGATATAACTCCCTTTGTACTTCAGAAATACCCGATCCGGAGATAAAAAAGAATCAAATTTTCTGCTAGATCCCGTATTTCCCTGGGATTGTAGTTCAATTGGTCAGAGCACCGCCCTGTCAAGGCGGAAGCTGCGGGTTCGAGCCCCGTCAGTCCCGACGGATCCAATAAATATATCAAAAAATCTCTCCCTTTTTCTGAAGGGGACCGGGGGAAGAATTCCATTGTCAAAGCAAAGGGGAAATCCTTATTTCTTTTTTCTTTCCTTTTGGTAGGAGAAAGACATATGCGGTTGGATTAGTACAATTATTGGTAGCATTATAGTCAGTATTCCAAGAAATGCTGGCTTTTTCGATTGCCCCCGATGCATGTAATGGAATCGAGTACTATACTTTTTTGAGGCGCGCATACACAAAAGGAATTCCTTTCTTGTCCAATACAAAATTGAATATAAGAAAATACTTTCCAGAAAAAACAAAAAAAAACAATTTATTTTTCTGGCTACGGATTTATGGAACCTGACTTACTAGTTTGAAGTTGCAAAATAGATTTCATGCAAATTGCACACTGAGCTTTTGGTATAGGTGTCCCGGGGCTAATAATCTACGAAGAAAGGAGGGGGAAGGACAGATCAACCAAAGATCCTACTCCTCTTAGAAAGGCGAATGAATCATTTTTCCTATTTTTCATTTTGTTTTAAGGCCCCATCGACGAAAGAACAAATCGGAAAATAGTAAATTTGATGAATATTCATTTTATACGGTCTCATCTTTATCACACTTCTTTGTCTTCCAAGTCAAAAATAGTTTCGTTCTAAACTCCTTTCTTTTTCCATTTAGCTTTTATTGTTTGTTTGGGTTTGTAACTATGTGACCACTGGAAGTGGAAGAGCTATTTGATGAGACTTCATCAGATGATTGTACAAGAAGGAACTAGATAGATTAGAGAGAAAAAAAGAACAGATAATAAAAAATGATAAATAAATAAAGGAATTTTGGGTTAGGTCAGCAATCCAAGTTTGGGGCGGTATGGATAAAAGAACTTCCTATGTTATACTATTCAATTCTCGACGACGAATTTATTTGATAGTTCAGATATTGTTATTCATGATATTGATCTGATTCAAGATCATCGAGAGGTAATATTCATTCATTGAATTTACAGGCCAAAGATTTATCATCTCTATGGGATTAAATCCCGAGTTATTGCGAAGTAAAAAACCGATGAGATTATGGAAGTAAATATTCTTGCATTTATTGCTACTGCACTATTTATTCTAGTTCCTACCGCTTTTCTACTTATCATTTATGTAAAAACAGTCAGTCAAAACGATTAATTATTAACTAATTTGAATGAAACTTGACTTCTGAGTTCTTAGCCAAAATTGACGAAATAAAATGAAAAAGATTCCAATTTCATGTCTTAAATGAAATGAGTGGACTAGAATCGGCAGTATTCTAATAGATAGATAGTATGGTAGAAAGAAATAGATGAATCTTTCTACCATACTATTTATTAGTTAGATTCTTGTTATAAAGCTGCCCCCTGGAATAAAATAAAGATAGAGGCTGCATTTGATATGGATCTATATATCAATCTACAATATTATCTTGATATATGCGAATATCAATTCCATATATGGGATTGACATAGCATCCAATTCCATTTATTTGCTATATCTATTTGTTCTGATCAATCTGAATTACTCCTATGTCTTATAGTTTGAATTACTATATTTTTGATTTCCAATATGAATCTCGGTATCTATTGAGAGAATCAAATCAATGAAGCAAAAGCGATAGATATAGGCATATTCAAAAAATCACGTAGTAATCTTTTTTTTAACATTCCCAAGAAGTAAACCATTGACAGTAGTTCCACGGGCATCGAAAAGGAAGAGTAAACCTCACTGATTTTTAACGCCTGAACCATGATATGAAATAAGTCGATAAAGTCTAAAAAAGTCTAAATCCAATTTCAAAAATTCGAAAGCGGTAAATGCGCAATATGTGACTCACCTGACGATCTTATTCTAAATAGTATCTCGTTAGACAACCACTATGTTTATATCCTTTCTTTCTCATACAAAGTGCGTATACACTTAACAAAACCACTTCTTCTTTGAACAGTAAAGAGAGAAACAAATAAAAAAAGGGTCCGGCCCTCCTCAGTATCACCTAGGAAGAGGCCATTAATTGGAATAGAAAATTTAGTAAGAATTAGGTTCGAATAAATTTCCTGGGATCCTTTTCCTTTCGAACTACAAACATGGGAATCGTTGAAATAGCTCTTTGATTGAAAGAGGATGATTCCTATAATACATTACTCCAGTCGAGTCCAATGGAATTTCAAAATGAAGATATTTTTATTTTGTTCCAAAGGTGTTGCAGAACCATCTAGAAAGCAATTGATATTGATACAGTTTGCTTCCTTAACTCAATTAGCAGAACCCCTAGAGTCCACTCCTTCCCCACACTACGAGTGAAAGGGAAAAAGTAAAGACTACCATTAAAGCAGCCCAAGCAAGACTTACTATATCCATATGAATTATGTCCCCTATCTCTATAAATATAAAGGAATTGTTCCATTATTCCTCACTAATACTAATAATAGTAGAATCAATGGCGCAGAGTCAAAAAGAACGAAGACTATTAATAAACCAATCCAATAAATTCGCTCATTTTATAAGAAATTTCTATATGATTTATAATCGGGAAAGATTAAACCCAAGCAAAATCCGCAGTAACATCTCAAGGGAATGTTACTAATGGAACATGTAGTAATAATAGGTCCT